TGTTTTTACTATTTAACTTAGAAAAATATGAAATTATGTCTGACTAAAACTTGTCTTTACTACTTATTTGGGAAAAAATACGAAAAATTGGTAATGAAGTTTGACTAAAATTTATTTTTTCTACTTAATTTAGAAAAATATTAAAAATAGTATATGACGTCTGACCAAAGCATGTCTTTACTACTTGTTTTTGAAAAATACGAAAAATAGGATATGAAGTCTGACTAAAATTTATTTTTACTACTTAATTTAGAAAAATAAGAAAAATAGGATATGAATTTCTTTTTAAATTATAAAAAGTAATTGATTTGAAGAAGAATTTTATTTTAAAATTATAGAAAATAATAATTGAACTGATAAAAATAATTTTAAAGGAGTTGCAGTGATAATATTTTTATAATATAAAATAATGATTTTATCACTCGATCAATTTTTAATTATTATGAAACATGAAGAAATTGATTAATTGAGTGATCCATTTCTTCATGTTTTACAATAATATTTTTATCTGTCATTGAATTTCAATAAGGTTTGAATTTCAATCTTTTGAAGAATTTTAATTCTTAAAAAAAATAAAAAATAAAAATAACTATAAAATAAATTATAATTATAAATAATAAATAAATGTAATAAAACATTTTTTTGAGTATCTAATTATTTTTAGAGTGAATAAGAATATTTTTTAGTTAATAGTTTTATTAAAAGTTTTGTTAAAAGTTGTATTAAAAATACTTGTTAAAATTCTGTTAAAATTCTGTTAAAATTCTGTTAAAATACTATTAAAATTCTGTTAAAATTCTGTTAAAATTCTGTTAAAATTTTAGTTAAAATTTAATGTCGAAACAAAATAGAAGTCAAAACAGAATATGTATAAATTTTTCGTGTAAAAAAAAAGCTTTTAAATCGCAAAGTTGAATTGTAAATGGTAATAAAATTAACGGACGGTAACAAATGACAGAATATATTGTCAACTCTCTCGTGTCTGAAGTGATGTTCTGTTGATTTAAGGTAAATTTGTATAGTAAAGTATTTTCACGTAAATGCTAAACAAACACCCAGGTGAATGGTGAATATATCTATGTGACGCTTTTACACGTGCAAAATATACCAACATGACAGATTGATATTCCAGACAGGAATAAAGCGTTCGTTGCTTCGGATTTTGTACTCGGTGGTTTTATTTTGCGATCTATTTCTGATTCAAATGATAAGAGTATATACATAAGTTAAAGGCGTCATGAATTATTATTGAAAGTGCATCTGAGCATTTATTATACATATAATATACGTTTAACCAAAAAAGGGAAACAAGATTATCTCAACAGAAAGCAAACATACAAATTTTCAGAAATATTTTTTATCTTTTATTATCTTTATAGTTTATACTCTCTAAATCAGAATTAGTATAGAAAGTTATACTAATGAATAATGATTAAAAAATTTTCTACCAAATGATTTAGTAACTAGCAACAATTCGTGCGCGGATAACTTCTTACTTGCTTTTTTAAAAATTATTATTTTAAAAATAATAAAATAAAATTGAATTTAATTTATTTTATTGAAGTAAATTTAAAAAATTATATTTTAAATTTTTTTCATTAAAACAAAATATGAATTGGAATATATAGTTTTAATACTATTACAACTATAAAAATTATAATATATATTTTGAGACAGAGAATTCAGGGAAATGTCAGGGATTTTTTTTTAAAGCACTGGAAAAATACTGGAATTCGTCAAAAAATTCGGAATTTTAATAATTAAAGTTCGTTTGAAATTAGTTACATTTTTTTAATATGTATTTAATTAATTATCAAAAATAATAGATCTGTGGAAGGAATTTAGTTAAAAACACTAAAAACATTGAATTTTGAAAAAGTTACAAATAATTGCAGAAATTCAATTATTTTCCAAAGTAATAAAATTCTTGTCACAAAAATTCAATTATTTTCCAAATTTACCAAAAAATCTCGATAAAATTCCAATTATTCTCTTTATAAATAAATTCTTTCTCAAAATTCAATTATTTTTAAAAATTGTAGTAAAATTCTTGGAAAAATTTAAATGATGTATTTTCAAAGAATCTCCTCATTTTAATGATTTTCAATATCGACTATTTTAATAAAATTACCCAAAGGAATTCAATTATTAAAAAACAATTTTAATAAAATTGTACGCAAACATTTAATTATTTTCAAAAATAATAAAAATTTGAAAGTAATTCAAAAATGTAATTATACTTAAAATTTTAATTTCATTTCTTGAAAAAATCAATTATTTAAGAAAATATTTTTTTCAATTCTTTGGACGAATTCAATTATTTACAAAAATATTAGAGTTTTTAAAAGGAATTCAATTATTTTCAAATATTTTTATAAAATTGTTCGAAAGAAATCAATTATTTTAAATGCAACTTTAATTAAATTTTTTTGAAATAATTCAATTATTCTTTTAGATTTTAATAAAATTCTTACCTAAAAATTCAATTATTTACATGAATAATTTTTCGAAAGAATTCAATTATTAAAGATAAGTAACAAAATTATTCTCGAAAATTTAATTATTTTGAGTCGGTCATTTTAATCAAATTCATTACAAAATTCAATTATTTTCATAGATATCAATATTCATCACAGGAGTTCAATTATTTTTAAAAGCAATAAATTTATTCTTGAAAATTCTTGGAAATTCAATTTTTTTTAAAAATTCTAATAAAATCATTCGCTAGAATTCAATTATTTTCATAATGAATAAAATGCTTTTTAGGAATTCAATTATTTTTGAAAATTTAAAAAAAATTCTTCGCAGAAATTCAATTATGTTCAAAATTTTTTTTAAAATTCTCGTCAAAATTATAATTATCTTTATCAACAATAAAATTCTTCTATGAAATTCAATTATTTCAAAAATTTTAATAAAACTCATTACAAAATTCAATTATTTTCATAAATAACAATATTCATCACAAGAATTCAATTATTTTTAAAATTAATAAAATTCTTGAAAGAAATTCAATTATTTTCAAAAATTAAAAAAAAATTCTTGTCAACATTTCAATTACTTTTCTAAATAATAAAATTCTTCTATGAAATTCAATTATTTTTCAAAATTTTAATAAAATTCTTGGCAAAAAATAGCAATTATTTTCCAAAATTTTATTCAATTCAATGATTTTCAATATCTACTATTTTAATAAAATTTTCCAAAGAATTTAATTATAAAAAAATTTTTTATAAAATTCTACGCAAGCATGTAATTATTTTCGGAAAATAATAAAAATTTTTTTGTCAAAATTACAATTATCTTTATCAATAATAAAATTCTTCTATGAAATTCAATTATTTAAAAATTTTTAATAAAATTCTTCAAAAGTAATAAAACTATTGGTTCCCTTCAAAATTTCAATTAATTTTCTAAATAATAAAATTCTTCTATGAAATTCAATTATTTCCAAAAATTTTAATACAATTCTTGTCAACATTTCAATTATTTCCAAAAATTTTTCTCAATTCAATGATTTTCAACATTTAATATTTCAATAATTTAATAATAATGAACTATTTTCCAGAATTCAATTATTTAACAATATTTTAATAAAATTCTACGGAAAAAATTTAATATATTTCAAAAATAATAAAAATTTCACAGGAATTCAATTAACTAATTTTTTTTTATAAATTTCTTCGCAATAATTGAATATTAAAAGCACTATAGTGTGAATTTTTGGAAATAATTGAATTTTAAAAAGGTTTCAACTTTTCGAAAAAAATCAATTGTTTACAAATTTTTTATAAAATTCTTCTTAATAATTTCAATTATTTTTATAAATATTAAAATTATTTTCAGGCATATAATTATTTTCATAAATATTAAAATGATTCTTAGGAATTCAATTATTTTCATAAATAATAAACCACATCAGAGAATTTCAATTATTTTCAGTATAATTCTTGAAAATTCTATTAAAATTCGTCAAAAAAATTTAATTATTTAAAAATTTTTAAACAAAAATTCTTTATAATTCAATTTTAAAGAACATTCAATTATTTCATATATTATTTATTTTTTTTATTCAAATAATTGAATTCTCGTAGAATTTTTTAATAAAAATCGATTTAGAAATTAATTTCAGTTAAATTTTTAGATAATAATTGAATTTTAAAGAAGTTACTAATAATTCCAATTTTTAGATTTATTTGAATTTTGTAAAAGTTTCAAATTAAAATTTCTGAGAAATCAGAATTTTTCATACTTTTAATTAAAAATTCTATGGAAACTAATTTTCTTCAAAAAGTTAAATGGAATTTTTTAAAAAAATTTTTGAATAAATAAATAAATAAATAAATAAATTACATTAAATTTTTATTTTCGAATGTATATTTAATTAAAAAATTTCCGAATAATCGAAATTTTACGTAAAATTGAATTGAAAACGAATGGATTGGAAAAAAACAAAAAGTAAAATACCGTCTGTCTAAAAACTTATTTTTACTATTTAACTTGGAAAAATATGAAATTATGTCTGACTAAAACTTGTCTTTACTACTTATTTTGAAAAAATAGGAAAAATTGGAAATGAAGTCTGACTAAAATGTCTAAAATTGACAATAAATTCTTTTGATAATTCAATATTGAAAGTATTTATATAAAATTAATGAAAATTGAAGAAAAAAAATCAGCAGTAGGTACAAGAATTGAACCTGTAATCCAGAAGAGTTCAATATTATCACAGAGTTCAAGTATCAAAGAGTCGAATATCTGCCTTTGGGGAATTTTGTCAGTTACCAGTCGAGTACTATCATCGCAGGATAAAACAGAATTACCATCAGACGATAACAGAACCGTTCGAAGGTAAATTACCAACCGTCGATAAATACAAAAAAAAATCCTACCTTACCGACTGTGGGATAACCACAAACTACTTCGGATAAACATTTTTCGAAAGTAAACGGAAATTAATTTTCAAAAGAGACTCTATAAGAGGGAAAATGGAGACTTACCGAGGCATATCCTGAAGCTGTTTTGCTCTCTGCTTGTGCCTCGAGAGGGCAAAGAGAAGGGCGAGGACGGGTCGAAGGGTTGATCCTGCTGTTAATTCGCCGGGATTCACAGCCCCAACATCTGCACCAAGTGCCCGCAGGGCACCCACGCATAGACTCACGTTTTCAACCTGGAAACATAATATATACATATATATACATATATACGTTTGTGAAACAATGATACGGATACAAACAAAAGCAGAGGGGAGAGGCAGACGAAAAAAATTGCTTTTCAGTTGACCCCGCGGTTATATTAAACCAACAACAAAAAAAACCTATTTCATTCACGCTTTACGCGAAAATGCATCGTTTCCACGCGCCCTTACAGTGTGTACATGGACTTTACACAAGGGAATTAAAGTAGAAATTGAGCCTTGATAAATGTTGGCGCACAAATTTAATTTACGAGCTCTCAGAGCATTTTGTCTCCTAATTACTAATTATTCCCGGGATTATTAATTATAATTTATGTCGCTAATCCTTTGCCTTTAGCAATTCAATAAATCTGCTTTTAAGTAACTTTGCAGTTCTCACCTAAAAAACTATGCGATATAATCTATTGAAAATCTATAATTTAAGTAAATAAATAATAAACTATATTCAAAAATTATAATCAAATTCTTTAAAACGATTCAATTATTTTCAAAAAATATTCGAAATTCTATTTTCAATATATCTAGTACCAATTTTCATAAGATTTCGCAAAAGAATTCAATTATTTAAAAAGAAATTGAAAAAATTCATCAAAAATTCAATTATTTTCATAAATAATTAAATTTCTACAGGAATTCAATGAATTTAGAATAGCATTTTTATAAATAAATTTCGAAAAAATCAATTATTTAACAGTTCATTTTTATACAATTCTTCACAATACTTCAATTGCTTTCACTAATAATATTTTTCATGAAAATTCAATTAATTAAAGAAAATTTTGATAACATTCTAAGCAAGAATTCAATTACTTTTTGTAAATTTTAATAAAACTCATGGAAGAATTTCAATTATTTTTAAAAATATTTTTAACTAATTAATAGAAAAATTCAATTATTTTCACAAATAAAATTACCCACAAGAATTCATTTATTTAAAATAAAATTTTCATAATATACATTCAAAAATATTAATTATTTAAAACAATGTTTATAACTTCATTCTTATGAAGAATTCAATTATTTTCAAAAATAACAATATTTTTCATAGAAATTCAATTCTTTTTAAACATTTCAATAACATTTTTCGCAATAATTTAATTATTTTCATAAATAATAAATTTTTTTTCAGGAATTAAATTATTTTTGAAAATCTTAATATAATTCTTTGCATCAATTCAATTATTTTCATAAAATAATAATAAAATTCATCGCAGGTTTTCAATTATTTTAAATACAACTTTAATTAAATTTTATTGAAATAATTCAATTATTCTTTTAGATTTTAATAAAATACTTCCCTAGAAATCAATTATTTACATAATTAATTCTTCCAATGAATTCAATTATTAAAGATACGTAACAAAATTATTTCTGAAAATTCAATTATTTTTAGGCATTTTAATAAAATCCTATGCAAAATTCAATAATTTTCATAAATAACAATATTCATCACAAGAATTCAATTATTTTTATACGAAAAAAATTTCTTTTTTGAAATTCTTGAAAATTCAATTATTTTAAAAAATTCTAATAAAATCGTTTGCAATAATTCAATTTTTTTTATAAATAATAAAATCCTTCTCAGGAATTCAATTATTTTTAAGTATTTTATTAAAATTCTTTGAAACTTTTCAATTATTTTCACAATTAATAAAATTCATCGCAGGATTTGAATTATTTTTAACAGAAATTGCTCAAAAAATGTTATTATTCTTAAAAATTTAATTTCAATTTCTCGAAGAAATCATTTATTTAAAAAAAAAGGTTTTAATTTCAATTCTTTACATGAATTCATTTATTTACAAAAATATTAAAATTTTTCACAGGAATTCAATTATTTTTAAATATTTTAATAAAATTGTTCGAAAGAAATCAATTATTTTAAGTACTATTTTAATTAAATTTCTTTGAAATAATTCAATTATTCTTTTAGATTTTAATAAAATTCGTTCCAAGAATTCAATTATTTTCATAAATAATTATTCAAAAGAATTCAATTATGTTGATAATTAACAAAATTATTCCTGAAAATTCAATTGTTTTGAGGCATTTTAATAAAATTCTTTGAAAAATTCAATTACTTTCATAAATAACAATATTCATCACAAGAATTCAATTAATTTTAAAAGTAATAAATTTCTTCTTTGCAATTCTTGGAAATTATATTATTTTAAAAAATTCTAATAAATTGTAATAAAATACAACTATATATTTTTTTTAAACTTTTCACAATTCAATGATTTTCAATATCTTTTATTTTCATAAAATTTCCAAACAGAATTCAATTGTTTAATAAATTTTTTATAAAAATCTTTTTAAGAATTCAATTCTTTTTATTAATAATAAAAGTAATTTCGCAGGAATTCAATTTATTAGCAAGATAAGAATGAAGTAAATATTTTTGATAAAAATTAGGAAAAAGTCAGTTAGAAAGATATATTTTTAAAATTAATTATCGAGTTCGAAGTCTACTATTTTAATTTTAATTCTTTGTTAAATATAAGAATAGCTATTAATTATTATATGTAAATTTTTTTATTTCAAATAATACGAAAACGATGTTTTTCAAAAATTATAAAAAAAAATTTAATCAATAGCTTTAAGTAAAATATGAACTTTATATAGGTTATTCAATTCATTTGAATTAATTTCACCAAAATTGTAGTAATAATTATTATATAAAAATGATGTATATCGGTAATTTTACTACTACTACTTTAATTTATATAATTATTTATTTATATATGTATATTTTATATATTTTACTTGTACAGGTAATTAAATTATTTAATTTAATTCTTCACTAAGAATAAAGCTTGAATTTACATCATTTGGCAATAATAATATGTTGTTAACAATAACAATTCTTGTCGAACAAATATTCTTTTTTGAATGCATTTGTGTTATAAATTTAAATTTAAAAATGTATTCTGATGATAAAATGTCCTCATCAAAACATTTAACACGAATTGTGATTTGCAATTCGCCGCATCAGGACAAATTTTTTAACCTCTTCCTTATTAGTTGACAGTCTTTTCGGTTACGGAATTCAAATTCTCATTGTTAGGATGAACATGTTTTTTATTTCCGGTTCGTTAATTTTAATCGTGATAAAGATACAGGAACGAATAATATATGTATAAAAGTGAAACTTATAATAATCAATGCAGTGTAAAATTTTTTAAATTGCGAAAAAATTTGTTTAATTTATCATTTTTTTATTATTTATATAGAAAAAAAATTTTTTCTTACTTGTTTCTTCCCAAAAGTTTTTTTATGATATTTATTTAGTTAATTTTTAGCTAAGTCCAAAATATAGCGAACCATGGACAAAGGAAAAAATAGTTTAAATTCCGCTATAAACAAAATTAAACAATTGGAATATTTAAGGTTGAAATTTCACCAAAAATTCGTAAAACAATTTGAAAATTGATATTTAAATATAATGAACATTTTTTGCTTTCTTAAGAAGAAATTTTGTTTATATTTATAATTTGTTTCCTTAAAGAAGCTCAATGATCATGAAATGAACGTTATAATTGGTTATAATTATCTTATTGTAAATTATAATTAACATAATAAATTAACAATCAATCAATTAACTCTAATTGTCATTAATTCTCATTAATTAAGTTTAAGATATAAAAAGATAATGTCACTGTTGCGAGATTAGAATTTTTTTGTTATTCTCATTTGGTCTGCAACTAAAGATGTTCCTATAGGGAAACATGAGGACTGTGACGATAGCTGTACGCCTTTCTAGCACGCGTGCATATAGCTCCTTTTGTTTCCATTGTTCTTTTCATAGTGAATCTCTTTTTCTCGCGTAGTGAGTTTCTTCCCTCCCTCTTCAACACCTTCATTCTCTCTATCAGCAGTTCATAAAACAAACGGTGCGCACGGGGTGGCGAAGAGAACTTGATGATGACTCATCTGACAATTCTTTCCAACCCACGTGAACGAGTGCCATGCCGTCGTCATATAGGTAAACCAACATCGCCACCATTACCACAAATGGGGTGCAATTCACTATAAAGATGACGCTTTTTACACTTGGAAAAGTGATTGCTACGCTTCTTTCTTACACGTTATTTCCTTTTTCATTTGGAATATCAATCATTTCGCAAATTACTCAAAAGGAAGAAATACATATAGAAAGAGAACTAAAATTGTTTTTGTTTTCATGTTTATTTTTAATTTGGAATTAGGTGGGTTTTGACTTTTGCGATTATTTGGTCAAAGTGTCATTAAACCGAATTGTCATTTAACCGCATTGCCATTTGAGCAAATTGGCATTTAGCGATATTGTCACTTAAACAATCTGTCATTTAACCAAACTGTCATTTAAACAATCTGTCATTTAGCAAAATTGTCATTCAAACAATCTGCCATTTAGCAAAATTGCCATTTATACAATCCGTCATTTAACCAAATTGTCATTTAGCAAAATTGTCATTAAAACAATCTGTTATTTAGCAAAACTGTGATTTAAACAATCTGTCATTTAGCAAAATTGACACTTATACAATCCGTCATTTAACCAAATTGTCATTTAGCAAAATTGTCGTTAAAACAATCTGTCCTTTAGCAAAATTGTCATTTAAACAATCCGTCATTTAGCAAAATTGGCATTTATACAATCCGTCATTTAGCAAAATTGTCATTAAAACAATCTGTCATTAAAACAATCTGTCATTTGAACAATCTGTCATTTAGAAAAATTGCCATTTGTACAATCAGTCATTTAACCAAATTGTCATTTAGAAAAATTGTGGTTAAAACAATCTGTCATTTAAACAATCTGTTATTTAACCAAATTGTCATTTAGCAAAATTGTCATTTAAACTTTCTGTCATTTAACCAAACTGTCATTTGAACAATCTGTCATTTAGCAAAATTGCCATTTATACAATCCGTCATTTAACCAAATTGTCATTTAGCAAAATTGTCGTTAAAACAATCTGTCCTTTAGC